CCCCCCCCCCCCCCCAAAAAAAAATTGGTCAAAATTGTTTTTATTTCTATAAAAATATCTACGACATGAGGAATTATTCCTAACAGACACTTTTTCCTATAAGATTGCGTATTTGGTAAGATTTAGAAAAGAAAAAAACTATTGTCAGGTGACTTTTAGGTCTGAAGGGACATGCTTGAAGTCTGAACTTTGGTCTCAGTAGGTGCAAACACGAGCCTCTTTGGACAGAATGGCTTGAATGTCTCCACCAGAGGGTTCCTAGCCCATGCTGCAGTCTGGCCATCATCTCACCTCGTATCATGAGACAAATGCCAGCAGAAGTACTATGTCTAGAACCAGTTCTTAGGAACCGTACAACACCACCTCCACCATATTATGTAGCAGAGCCAGAACTGCTTAGTAAAACCTCTGAAAGGGTTTGCACGTGTGTATTGGAAATGCTAAGTCACAGCTTCCATGGTGGGAAGGTAGGGCCAACCCAGGGGAGCTCAGGTGCATACAATGCAGCTGAGTGACTAGAAGGGGTGGAGCAGGATCCATCCCTTCCCAGACCTCATTTAAAGGCAGTGCAGGGGAAAGTATCTTGTTGCAGATCCCTGTGTACCTGAGACCTTCCAAAGGTAAGCAATTTCTTTATTTTTACACCCATAGCTGTTATGTTTGAGCAACTCCTCAGTTGCTGCAACCTGGGACTTTGCTGTTCTGCTGTCACTACTGCATTTTCCATCACGTTTCAGCATTACAGGTGTGCTTTTCTACTTCCTGCAGTAGATTCTATAGCCACAATCTTTCAAATATTAAAATAACAATAAGCTTGTAAGTAGTAAGCATTGAACCAAACTAAACTGATGGGGGTTAGGTGCGTGAAGAAAATTTTGAGTCTGGATAACTATAGGGATGACAGCCTTCATACCCTGAAGGCTGCATGTACTCCTCAGTTCATAACCCTGCTTTTGACAAGTTATTTTGACAATATATTGATTTCTGAGTAAATAAGTTGATTTTCACAGAGAAAGCCTAAGTGGTTTCCTGACACAACAGAACTATCAGTTATCACCTCCCAGTGACTGCCTGCCAGAGCAGTGTGAGCACATGTGAAGAGCAGACTGTAGTTTTATTGGTCCTGAGCAAACTGTGGTCAAACAGAACTGTTTCACCCTTGTTTTCAAAAGGATTGTGCCACTTTAAGAAGCAGCGAGTGGGAGGTGTGCAGGCACTGCAGTACAAACAAGTACCTGGGCACACTGCTGTGCTCACCTCTGAGCCTCACATAGCTGAGGGGACAGCAGCCTCACATTCCCTGTTCTGCCCTGCAAGCTCGGCACCACGTTTTCCAGCAAACATCGAGGAAAGTGGATAAAGGATGGGCTCTCGGACAGAGCTACTCAAGGTTATCTGTGAGACTTGCAACATACCTTGAGGAGACTAAGGTAGGTGGATGGAAAATATGAATTCCTACGGAACCACTCAAGTTGGTCACTTCACCTGCAACACGCTTTAAAGAAAGCTAGAACTTCTCGTAGTCATGATGTGAAGTTGTAATTCGTGCCATTTGTGTCAAGTTCTCTAGTACTAAGAGTCCATTGATTAAGTAGAGCTATGTCTACAAATGCACTGCATAAAGCAATCCTTCATTTTCCTTTTTGAGTCAGGAGACCTTCAGGTTGTACGAGTCCCTTCAGAACTGTTTAAACATTTCAGAATAGGAAATCCATGACTTAGAGCTGTATGTAGCCCCTCTGCAATATATTCAAGGGTCAGAAATAACAGGCATGTGTGGAGAAATCCAAGGGAACAAAGACAGCTTGTTAGATGAAACATGAAAAAAAATTACACATGTCCTGAGTGATTACTGCATATTATAAACGCAGGAGAGTCTTGCTACGTTTTCACTTAGATCTTAATTGCCTACTTACTTGGAAAAAGTGAGAAAAAAGTATGTCTCATACTGCAACTAAAAGCACCATCGGCCAAACTGTAACAGTGTTCTGTGCCATTTCTCATTGTTATGTATGCTTGGTCTTCATCATGCCTGTCTTCTCAGGACCTCCCAGATTTTGTACATTACACTATATTTTAGCAGCTGAGCTTCACATTGTTTAAAAAAAAAATAAAATAGATGATTGGCTTTCAGTGACTTCACTCAGACTGCTAAATGGTGGACTGGTCTGATTACTTCTAAGTAAAGCCTGATTACAGCATGCTTTAGAAAAGCTGAAATAATTCTGAAAATGAATGCTTATTTATTCTAATTAGCGCTTTATTCAGTTGCTCCTTCTAGAGTCAAATGTAACCTAGAACACAAGCAAATTCACTGAGCTTATTATCTTGTCATTCAGAGTATTTTCAGAACCTTCTTGGTTAGAAGGTTCCAGTCATTGAGGGATCTGTGTGATATGATTCACGTAGTTGAAATGTGGCCTTTTCCCTAAGGTACTAAGCCAATTAATTTTATTTTTGGACCTATGTGACCCATAAGTAAGTGACATTTGACTTCAAGTAGTAGCTCTTTTGACTATTAATCACCTCATTTCTAGTTGATCTCTGAGCAAGAACTTCTCCACGCTGGCCAGCAAAGTCAGAGAAGCAGCATAGGAATTCACCTGTCTGCAGCTGCACACTGTTACAAGGAACATGAGGGGCACTAAGCAGTGATGGGTTCTCCAGACAATTGGCTCAGACCCATCTAATTATCATTAAGTGTTAACAGTAAGTTGGCAGTTAGGATCAGAAAACAGCACACGATAACCCTTGTTTGCCCCACTCCAAGCCTGAAGATTTCGCTCTCCAAGCGAAGGGAGCAGAGAGCAGAACAACTGCTTTGTTGTTAGTTTAGCACTTTGTTTCCAGTAGAAGTGCATGTCTGGGAGAAGAGATGTTCGATCTGCAAAACAGGAAGCATCATGCAGCATTCAGCTGTGCTAAAGCGTCGCAGTCAGGGTTTGCAAGCAGCTCCTGTGTGTGGGCTGTAAAATGTCTACCTGCAGAGAGCCACAAGCCCCGTTCTGAAACCAGAAATGCAATGCCACATCTGGTTTTATCTGATATTCTGAATTGGCACATTTTAGTGTGACTATCTGCCTACTAAAATAGAAGAAATGTTTCGGTAAGGAAATGACTTGCAGTCTGCAACAGACCATAATTTTTTAGTGTCTTCAATCAGGGCTTTTTCATTCTATCTGCCAACAGGAAGGCAGGCAAGGGATTGAGCCCAATAGAAGTAGGGCTTACCCTGCTTCTTTTCACAGAGTGTGACCAGAGTATTCTCAAAAGCTACAGTACAGCTACATTATATAAAACTTCTTGAACTCACAGTTTACTGACAGTGAAAAGCCAAGTTTATATTCAGTTAGGACCATGCTTGTGGTGATGGGAAGGAGAGCAGAATGATTGATTCTCAAATGTTACTAAGTAGTAAAATGAGCGGCCTAGAACCTTTATAGCAAGCTATATCTCATGGCAGATATTCTCTGAGGCAGGAATAGTTTATCTCTTCCCACCAAAGTGAAGGAGGCCAAAGAAAAAGGGATTAAGTTGACAAGATCGATGCAAAACAGCAGCAGGCTGCTACTTGCTGTGGGGGAGAACAGGGAAATCCAGCCTCCTCATAGCAGTTTCCAGCTGTGTCTTCACACATGACACTCACAACCAAGATCCATATGTCTACATTTGTCAGTGTTTTCTTGCCTAGGAGAACGCGTGGAGCAAAACCCCAATGCTGCTGCCAAGAGTTTCCAGTAACATTAGAAACAAGAATCTCAGAGCAGACCATCCAGCACCAAATTAAGCACTGAATTCACCTGTTTGGACATTAGTCAAGGGTCTAGTTACCTC